CAAATCAATGATATATTTTGCATGACCATCACTAGTAATTATACTCCCCTTTATCTTTGACACAGTTGATCTTTATTTTTTAAATTAAAGCATGTTAGAAAATAATCATTTTGTCTAGTATTTTGGACTTTGTGTATCCGACCAAACAAATGATGAGAACAATGACAGATATAAAAGATAAAGAGACAGGTACACACTAAACGTATGTGTACCAATAGCTTGTACTATTGTATTTTGCAGCCTCTGTGGTTAGATCAGATTACGTAGCTGTAGCTAGAACAAGAGATGCCGCCCGGAGCTTCTGTCAGACCACATACCACCAGGGAACCCTCGCCAAATGGAAGGATATTGTTAATAAAAGGTCGGAATCATACCAGGTGTGGGACGGTAACTCTTACCAACTCTCCTCCCTCATTACAATCAAAGGTAGGACAGCATCTACATAACGAATGTATCCCCTGTATCGAAAACTACGACCATAGAACGATACAAAAAATGTTTAAAATTATAATCGGGAAAAACTACCAGGAAAAGCATTGTGTACAACATAGAGCGTTGATTGGTGTCGTTTCAGGAGAGATAAGCATTTCGTAGCATTCAGCGAAGTATCAATATTTTACCTAGACTAACCTAATTTTACAAATTACTCTTTTGGTGGCATTCACATGAATAACTTACATGTTTAAGGCTTATATATGACTTATCCTAAATAATTGTACAAGTGCTAATGCACTGATTGTACTAGTGCTATTTGCCTCCATGATCAACCTGGACAAACCAGAATAAATCTGAGAGTAAAAACAAAAAACAAAAAAAAACTCAGGCGGAATTCATCAAAGATACAGAAGAAGGGATATAGAGATAGAAAGTAGAAAAAAGGGAGGAAGAGAGATATAGAGATAAAGGTAGAAAAAGTGGAGCTTATTCATTATAAGTATATGTAAGTTAGAAGAAGAAAAATCAAGTAAATTAAGTAAAAAACACTTACAGCAAGAAAAAGAACGAAAACAGTTTCCTTTGCCTTCTTTATCAATTGACAGGCCATTAATAAAGAGTTTGCTTGCTTAGGTTTTGAAATTAACTAAGTATAATTAATTAGATTTAAATTGAAAGTAATGGTATCGTATACACAACAAAAAGTCATGTAGTTACTTGTTTATGGACATTGTAACATAAAAGGTAGAAACCAAAGATTTTGGTAAAATATTCTTACCTTGCACTATTTCGCCAAGTATTATCAATATTACATTAATTCGGATTTTCTAATCTCGTTTGAGTTTACAAAAGGTTTTCACCAAGCTATTATTTTCAAAACGCTATTTGCTTCTAATATGTGATGCTTGATCGAAATTGCACAGCCACTGTAGTTTAGTATTTTTAAGTATATCAAAAGGTATTTCATGTATTTCCTTCACTTATTCGATTTGTATATTGTTCCACTTTATCTTATGGTACTTGTTTTCCTGGCACATAGACCAGTAGGTCCTGATATCAAATAATGTTTTTGCTTATGTAATACTGCGGCGCCTGTCGTCCGTCCGTCAACTTTTCCTGTCCTAAACGGCCAAGTAGATTTTGACTAAATTTAGTCTGGAGCATCCTTACGCCAAGGGGACTCAATTTTGTATAAACGGTGGGTGTGGCCCCCCTCGGGGCAGAAGGGCGGGACCAAACAATGGAAATAGAGGTAAAATCTTTAAAATCCTTCTTCTACCATAGGGATTAAGGGATTTTATTCTTATTTAATCTCGAGCATCTTTCGGACAAGGGAACTTAATTTTGTATAACTGGTGGGTGTGGCCTCCTTGGGGGCAGTGGGGAGGGGTCGATGAAGGAATAGAGATAAAACCTTTAATATCCTTCTTCTTCCATAGGGATTTTGGGATTTGATCCTAGATTAATCTGGAGCATCCTTTGGCCAAGGGGACTCAATATTGTATAAACAGTGGTCGTTGCCCCCATGGGGACAGGGGGCGGGGCCAAATAATGGAAATACAGATAAAACATTTAAAATCCTTCGTCTGCCGTAGGAATTAAGGTAATAGGATTGTGTCACCATTTCTCATTAGAAATTCTTCAAATTTTGTAGGTATATTGATTTGAAGTAAAGAAAATGTTCTACCACAAAAAATATAGGTTGTCAGGATTTTAAGGATTTTAAATGGAAATTTAAAGAATTTTGAATTTTTAAAAAAATGAAAGACACAAATGTTTGCAAAATAATGTCAATACAAATTATATTGACATAGATTAGTATTGCATTAATGTATATCAATTTGATCAATGCTGAAATTGTGTAAAATTAATTATCTTTAAACGATTAAAAATTGACATTTTATAATAAAACCATATACACATAATAGTTGCATGTAAGAGTTATCTTTCTTGAAAAACTTCAAAGTAGTGAAATAGGTCGCCGGTTTCCTGAAGTACAAAAAAATGAACACATGTGACTCATTGATAAAAAAACAACTGAATTAATGCCTGGGTGTCCAATAAGAGAAATATAGCAAATTCTTCAAAATACTTCTATTTTTTTTAGGAATAACAGGATTTAGTCCAAATTTGGGACGAAGCTGTGGGCTTTAACACCCTGGGCCAGAGAAGCGTGGCAAAATAGGGAAAATAGAAAAATAGCGTTAAAATCCTTCTTCTTTTGTAGGAATTACAGGATGATGACCATATTTGGTCAAAAGCATCCTTAAATGAAGGGGAATTAATTTTGTATGAACGGTGGGTCTGACCCCCTGGGGGCAGAGGGGCGGGGCCCAACAGTGGAAACATAGCAAATTCTTCAAAATCCTCCTTTTCCTGTAGGAATGACAGGATATTGTCCAATTGCATATATATATAACCCCTGACTAATCATGAAATACATGTACATTAACATTTTGCTATTTCATCTTTAATTTTGCTAACATTTCCAGGTGAGCGATACAGGCCCTCTAGGCCTCTTGTTTTTATTGATGAATCGCTTTGAGACTACCTATGAAAAAGGTTGTTATAAAGTGTTAAAAAAGAACTTCGAATCATATTATTATTATTATTATCATTTTTTGGACATTCTTCTGAAGTTGGATTCGGCAAAATACTTTCGCACAATGCATGGGACGCAGGCGGGAAAGGATACCACGTGTAATTTGTTGTGCTTCCAACGGGACCAGTGTCGGTATCCATTCGATCTGGTCTTACCACTGACAATCTATCCAACTAGCCACCACAATTGGTCTGGCTGCCTCGCACACGCTCTTGCATTGATATACTGCACAAACAAAAGCATTTTTTTTTTTTTTTTTTTTCAAATTTTTACATTAGTATACAATACACTTACAATATATATACATAACATGACATAACACAAACATATATAAAGACATACACACACTCATTCATTATCATACAAACATTCATACAATTATCAAAAAGGAAAGGTAGGATTGTTGAAAATTTGGATTACATTTTGAATTTCTAAGCTAGCTGTCAGTGTGAGCGTAATCAATATTTACATTTACTCAATACAACAAATATATTTATAAATTGATAAGTTACTTATGGTAAATCAGTCGTAATTTCAAGTTTGGGTGTTTCAAAAAAAGTTTTGCCATTTGGCCCATTCTCTTTGAAACTGGTCTAAGTAGCTTTCTCCCTTACTTCTAGCAATGTATTTTTGAGTTGTATATGTATCTTTTAGTGTATTTTTCAGGGCAATAATGCAGAGTTCGTTCCTGAGGCACCTTGCTTTGTAGATATATTGTTTTATTGTAAAGATGATCATATTATCCACTTTTCTGTTTATTCCATTCTGACGATATGTACCAAAAAGAAAAGATTTCTTATTAAATTCAAATGGAATGAACAGTGAATTCAACAAATTTTCTAAGTTAACAAGTAAAATTTGAACTTTTTCACAGTTCCATAGCGTATGCTCTATCGTTTCAATTTCTGTTTTACAAATGTTACAATAAGGGCTGTCTACTAACCCAACTTTAAATAAATACGAATTTGTTGTTAGAATATGGTGATTAACCCTAAATTGAAACCATTGCAATTTTGTATTTTTTGTTACAGAAAAAGGGAGTTTAAAAATCATTTTCCAATCACCTTCATCAAATTCAAATTGTTCATTCCATTTTTTTGTTCCACTTGCAATTATATCATTTTTACTAAGCACATTATAAAAATCTTTTGTACCTTTCTGTTTTTTAGCAAATATTTGTAATTTTCTTGGAATAAAAGGATAGTCTATTTTTGGATGGGTCAAGTTACACCGACTGCAAAGCTCCCTTATAGCTGTAACAATTCCGTGATATTGTAAGAAATTTGCTCTAACACCATATTTTTCTCTTAATTCAAAAAAACTGAAGAAGTTGTTGTTATCCTTTTTTAAGTCATTAACTACTACAACTCCCTTCCTATACCAATCCTTATAAAAAACACTATTATTATCTATTTTGATTTTTTCGTTTAACCATATAGGCATGTCGGAGATCTGTTTTGAATCTGTATATTTTTCCTCAAGAATAGTAAGATTTTTCCATGCAAGAAAGACATCTTTCCAGAAAAGATTTTTACAGTTATTATGACAAAAGGAAATATAGTCTGGTCCACAGTTTACAAGAAGGTTTTTATCAATATTTGAATTAAAAATAATTTGCCATGTTCCTGTTGTTGAGAGTAATCTTCTAATCCAAGTTAGTTTTAATGAGTCTATAAATGATTTAATATGAATCATTTTGAGACCACCATCAGAAAAGTTTTTAATAATTACATCTCTTTTAATTTTATCAATCTTACTATTCCAGAGGAAATTATATATTTCTGTATTTATCTTTTTGACAAATGTATTATCAGGATTTGGTAAAGCGATAAATAAGTGATTAAATTGAGAAATTAGGATAGACTTTATTATATTTATTCTCCCTATTGGTGTAAGTATTCTCCTACTCCAAGTCTTCATCAAAGCTTTAAGTTTTACTAGTTTTTTATCAAAATTTATTTTTGGAATACGATGTAGATCAACATGAAAATCAATACCCAGAAGTGTAAACCTTGTATGTCCCCACTGTAAATTCCATTCATTAGCCATAACCTCATCACTATATTTTTTACTCCCTATCCAAACTACTTCGGTTTTTCCCAAATTCATTTTTAATCCGGATATTTTTTCAAAGTATTTTAATTCTTTTATAGATTCTCTAAGTGATATTTCTGATCCGTCCAGAATTAAAGATGTGTCGTCTGCATATTGTGAAAGTAAAATAGGTTGTTCAGCTTCGAGTACTTTTAAGCCTTTGATATTCTTGTTATTTCTTAATTTGATTGCCAAAATTTCCGAACAGAGGATAAAAATATAAGGTGATATCGGATCACCTTGTCGGCAACCCCTTTTTATATCAAAGAATTTTGACAGATTCCCCCCCTGATTA